TGTAGCCCTCCAGAAGGCAAACACTGGACCAAGGGAAAAGGCGCCTTACCTCGCTCCGCTCCCACTGCCAGCACCTCAGCAATAGGAAATAATCCCGAGATGGTGAGGAAGTGGAAGGCGACCAGAAGAAACTCGGACATGGTCGGGGCGCGCGGCGTCCTCTTCTTCCTCCTCCTCCTCTTCCTCGCCCCTTCTTCCTTCGTCCTCGGGAGCCGCCGTTGCTGGGCTGCAAGCCTTCGCAAAAAAAGTCACTCGGCAGCGGGGGGCGAGCCGGGAGGCTGCAAGGGAGCGGCGTGATTTGCAAATGTCACTGGCAAGGCGGCGGCGGCGGCGGCTGCTCGAGCAGCCCAGGTTGCTTTTGCTGGCTGGCTGGTTGGTCGGCTCGCTCGCCCGCCCGCCCGCCTTCTCTCCTGCTTTCAGCAGGCTTCCGAGCTGTGTGTGAGCGCAGCTTGTGTGTCTCGACTTCTCAATGCGGAGTACGTCTGATCTTACATCACGCAAAGAGGGGCAGTCAGGAGGAGAGAAAGCGAGCGATGCCAGGGGATGGGGATTTCACTGATGAATCACGGAAGCAGCCATTCCCCCAGATTGGGCGCCCGTATCAATCATGCCCATTAGTACTTAGGAAGAGAGGCAACGAAATGCAAGGAGAAACTACCCCGGGAAAATGGCAAGCCCAACAAATCACTACCCGAGCGGTCCCAGTGGAGAAGGGAGGGAAGGATGCCCGTTTCCCAAAGAGGGCTCCCTGCAAGGATCTGGAGCTTCGGGCTCGCTGGGCAGAGAGACAGGCGAGAGCCGCCTCCTTCCTCAAGTCAGGGACCCCAAAAAAAGAATCCACGAGGAGGGACCGTCGAGGAGAGGAGAGGGATGGGGGAGCGGGCACCGGTTCGTCTGCGCGGGAACGACGCGCCCGCTGTGGGAGTGGGGAAGAAGAGCCCAAACGGAGGAGGCAGCTTTTAGGAACTCGACGCTGGTCAGTCGTTTTTAGCCGCAGACTGACAGGGAGGCTTGGCCCACGTCGAGTGACTCAGCAAAAAAACAAAATTACTTCCCTCGATCAAGGAGAGGGCAAAACTCCGGCTACTTTTGGAGAGGGGGGAAAAATGAAAAAAAAATGCAAGCAGGAACGAGGAGTGTTATAGCCCTTAACCGAGGTGTATTAACGTCCTCAGTGCAGCCGGTGGGGACCGAGCCTTCCTCAGGTCTTAGCCGGAGGGCGGCAGCGGCGGGAGAGAGGGGGCGACTTTCCTGCTTATTTTAAAAGGACGGTCTCCGCCAGGGTTCTAGGGTTTTCTCTTGGGTTAGGTTAACGGAACGCCACACTAATGTTTAGACAACTACATTCCATATTTTATTGTAATCAAGGTTGCACCTGGGGGCAGCCTTCAGATTTCCCGCCCTATGCTTCCTCAGCTTATGGGCCTGGGAGAGTAGAATGGGACCCAATGTGCTATGTTCATCTTGATGAAGCCTAGCCAAGCAAGGCCTGAGAGGGAATAGGGCTATGTGTTCCGATCTCAAGGGAATTTACTCCCTTCTTCAGTTAGAATTTCTCCCTAGTAAAATAAGGAAAAGTTAAGTGGTATCTTGAAGATTTTTCTTCTCCTTTCACCTCAGAAGCAATCTAGTGGTGCTTCTGGAAGGGCAGGACCAGCCAACAGGACACTCAAATGTGACCGTAGTCCTCACTTTCTTTGGAGAGACTCATTCCATGCCTTAATGGGTTTATTATGGCGTTTGCGTTTGCTGACACATACAGAATGGGTCCATGACAGGCCTTGTGATGGTGAATCTGTTAGTCTTAAAGATGCTGTGTCAGTCTTCATTATCTTGTGCAACAGATTACCATGACACCTGTACCCCACCCAGGTAGGTGGGGCTCGTCAGCCTGGGAAGGCAGCCCATCTAGGAGAAGGAAAACTCTGACTTCAAACCTCCACTGCCTTGTGGCTATATCCACTGATGGAAAAGGCTTCAGGAGTTAACCTAGAGGCAAAATCCAGAGCTGGAGTCCCAGAGGCAGTTCGTGCCGTGACATCACTGGAACCAGTTGTATTGGCTCTTGCCTTTCCATTGGACTATTTCAGTGATGTGGAGAGGAGGGATTTGCTGGTTGAGTAACAGCCTATCCTCCATATTATTTTACCCAGGCTTCGTGCTCTGGAGAGGACACTCTAGCTTTGCATACAGTGTCAAAGTCCTCCATACAGAGCATGTTCCCGTAGTCTCTCGAGACTGAAGGATGCCTATGATAGTATTTGTGAAGAGAAGATTTCAGAAGGTCTAGTTTACCAATATCCTGCAAAAATTCCCTTTTCCCATGTGACTACTAAAGTTGCAGCAGCCCTGACATGTTTTGCAACTGGCTACTCTGATGTCAAAGCTATGGTTTTTCCAGTAGAGATGTACGGAAGTGAGAGCAGAAACATAAAGAAGGCTGACCACCAAAGAACTGATGCTTTTGAATTGTGATGCTGGTGGAGACTCTTGAGAGTCCCCTGGACTGAAAGGAGATCATAGCTATCCATTCTGAAGGAAATCAACCCTGAGTGCTCACTGGAAGGATAGCTCCTGAAGCTGAGTCTTCAATACTTCATCCATCTCACGAGAAGAGAAATCTCCCTGGAAAAGCCCCTGATGTTGGGAAAGAGAGAAGGCAAGAGGAGAAGGGGGCAACAGAGGATGAGATGGTTGGACAGTGTCATTGAAGCTACCAACATGAATTTAACCAAACTCCGGGAGGCAGTGGAAGACAGAAGGACCTGGCATGCTCTGGTCCATGGGGTCACGAAGAGTCGGACATGACTTAACGACTAAACAACAACATCTCTGATGCAGGGAAACCAAACTGGTCACAACAAAAGGAGGGCAAGGCTCATGTATCATTAATACGGTGATTGTGTGGAAATGTGAGTTTCAGCTGGTTTAGCTCACTACTGTAAGCTATACCTGTTGGAATTCCTTCTTCTGCTCAATTGTTAAACATGCAAGAACTGGTCATCCTTTCTAGGTAGCCACCCTAGTGCAAATTTTAAAATCAACTCACTTAAATACACCCATCTACAGGGCTTGAAAAATGCACTCGTCCACTTGTCTGTGATGAGTGAAAAATGCTGTCTGACAAGTCACAGCTCCCTCCTTGCCTGCCTCCTTCCCTTCTGCCTGCCTCTCTCTCTGCAATCCTCCCCTCCCCCTCCCATTGCAAAAGAAAAACTGCCCTCTTCTCACGAGAAGAGAGTTTCAGCGGTATATAGAGCTATAGCTCTTTAGGAGAATGTAACGTATGGAGATTTCCTGCTCCCAATTTCAACCGAATGAAGACACATCCTGGGGTGGGAGGGAACCATGGCTCCTTAAGAGGCTGGGTGCTTTTCCTTTCAATTTTACTTTTGCTGGTGACATTCAAAAAAATGCATTCAAAATAGAAGCTTCATGTCCCCACAGGCAATAAAGCAACCCAAGTCTGAGGGTATAAATCAGTGATTCCCAGTCCCAATACTGTAAATTTCAAGGCTATAGTCCAGTCATGCTGACTTGTGAAATGTTTGACCGACTGGTGAGACATTCTAAATTTTTTCAAGCCCTGCCCATCTATATTGTCTAATCATTAGCCAAGTAGTGGATAATTTATGGCCCTCCAGATGTTGTTGGGCCCCAACCACCATCTTCTCTTCCCAACAACTACAATGACTAAGGTTAATGGGAACCACTGCCTAACAGCATCTGGGGGGTCAAACATTTTCAGCCCTGCATTCATCAACCCCAAAGAGTAATTTTTTTAGAAGAAATCCCACAGATTTAGTGGGATTTGCTTTTCAGTAAAGATTTATGTGTTTTGATTGCTCATTTATGGTCATTTATGAAGAACTTATAGGATATGTTTTTATATGATACACTGTTCCAAGACTGGAACCTACTGTACTCTCATCATCATCACAACCATGTTTTACTCTTCTTGTTTTTAAGAAGAATGTGAAGGAAAATCTTTTAAATATGACTTTTAAAATATGCTTTTCTTGGTCAGATTATTTCAATGTTTATTGTTTAACTTTTCATAGCTGTGGTGAGCTCAGTGTTTTAGTCAAACAGCTGGACAAAAATGTCATAAGAGATGGGAGAGAGAAGCTCATTTAAATTAATAATGACATTTAGGTCCTTGAGGAAATGGGGAAATTGTCACATAGCCCGGAATCCTTCACACCAGGCTGACAAAATACGGAGAGGGGACCTCAGACATCCAACTAAATTACCTATCCAGCTACCTCTGTCCTTTTCTTAAGTCCCTATATCCCATTGAAGTTAATGGTGCTTATTTCCATGTAGCTATATCTAGAATTCACTTACTGCATGATCCTCTGCTGTCTTTAATAGGAATGTTTAAGAATAAATGGATTGTGTAAACTGCAGCCTCAGAATTGTATTGCCCCCCCAACTTCACTTTCTAATGTAACTGCAGTATATTAACCAGATATTGTTCCTATTGTGAACATTATCTTACATTCCATCACTATAGTTACGTGAAAGGATGAGGCAATCCATTAAAGGAGGCCCATCATTGTATACTCCATGTCCATTGCAATTTTGCCCAGATAGGCTTGTATATACAGGATGGTCACTTGCAAAGAGGATGCAAGGAATTGTTGTTATGTGCCACCAGTTATTTCTGACTTATGGCAACCCTATAATTTAGTGATTTCCAAAAGGTCCTATTGTTAACAGTCCTGCTCAGTCTTGCAAACTAAAGGCCATGGCTTGCTCTGTTGAGTCAGTCCATCTCATGCTTTGTCTTCCTCTTTTTTGCCCCATATTTCACTTTTCTAAGCAATATTCCCCCCCCCCCATAATATCTCCCAAGTATCAGTTTGGTCTTTTTAGCTTCAAGTTAAAATTCAAGGCTGATATGATCTACTATCTGTTCATTAGTTTTTCTGTGGTCCACGGTATTTATAAAGCATTCCTCCGTGTTTTAAATGAGTGGATCTTTTTCATGTCAATTTTCTTCTTATCGTGCATTAGTACCATATATCTCAGATGTGTGAGTGGAGGTTAAATAGTATTGGAATACATGCCTAAATAATATACACTTAGGATGCTTCATAGGACATTCTCAGATTTATCTCCCATGTGCCCTTCTCTGTCCTTTGCCATCCAGTTCTGTTACACATTACAGATTTTCGGTACAATGTTACAGAACATCACAACTTTATTTTTCATGGTAGCTGTTGCTGATACAGTGGCACCATCCAACCATGTTGGGATGATGGAATTATCTTGGCTCTCACATTGTTTATTCAGCTTAAACAAAAGCAACATGGGCACAGTTCCACTGACTGCAATGTGACAGCCTGAAATATGTAGCTACTCTGTCACCGAA